GAAGAAAGTGCTGTAGAGGCCTCTGGGGAAAACAGACCTAAGGAACCGCTGGGAAACATGCAGTCATGAGACTTAAAACTGCAGAGATCTCCCTCAGGGAAACCGTGAGATTTTACTGCAACCACGCTACCCTGTACCTGACTTTGTGTAGTTTGTCTGCAGGGAGAAACACCTTTTGAACTGTCAAATCCCAGAAATTTTATCGACTAGAGTTAGCTATGGAACCATATTCTGTTTTTCCCAATTTATCACCCATCCCAGTGATTGAAGGTGGCTCTGGGTAAACTCTAGATCCTCCCACAACTGCTGTTCAGAGGGGGAAGCTAAAAGGAGATCATCTAAATAAGGAACTATCAGAATGCCCTTTAGCCTCAATGGAGCCAGAGCTTCTCCCAGGCCCTTGGAGAAAATCCTTGGGGCCGAAGAACATTCTGCAGGTGCTGAACATTATCCCCTAACTTGATGGTCATTCTCAAGTACTTTTAATAAGGATGAATGGGTATATGAAGGTATGATTCCTTCAGATCTAGGGTCACCATAAAACACCCCAGACGCAGAATATACCTGAGAGAATATTGACTCCATACGCAAATGTTTGCACTTTATTGACTTGTTGAGAGGTCACAAATTCAGAATCAAATGGAATTTGTCCAAGGGTTTTTTCACCACAAAAATGTAAGAATAAAAACCCTGACCCCATTCTTCCACCAGAATTGGGTCCAAAACCCTCCGATCTACCATCTCTCCTAACTGCAAGCACAATGTACTTGCTTTTTTCCCAATCCTGAAAAAAACCTTTGGGGGGGGGGGGGGGGTGCAAGGAGTTGAACTACAGCCTGTAAGCCTGAGTTATCAGAACAAGGAAGAAGTCATTGGGTTTTGGGAGAGGGTTGAGGAGGAAGAAGATTCCCCCTTTACATTTGTGATCTAACCGTTTCCCTGGCCTTGCCTTTTTACCTTGGTCGGCTTGTTGTCTTTGGCCACGAAACAGCCGCCTAAAACCTGGCGTCCTTTTCTTTTCTGGGAAGGCCTTTTTCTTATCAGCTGTGCGCTCTAAAGCCTCCTGTAATCTAAGGCCAAACAGGTTTTCTTGCGAAAAGTGCAAGGCACACAACTGCGCCTTAGAAATGGACTCACCAGACCATGTCTATAGCCAAAGTGTTCTAGCAGAATTTACCAGAGCTGACGATCTAACCGCCATTCTAACTGCTTCTGCCAAAAACCGTAAAGCCTTAAAAAGCATAGGAAAAGATTTTAAAATTTCCTCTCTAAATGTACCACAAAGTGAGACTTAAGCTGAAACAACCAAAAATCCAAATTTATGGCTACACAGGCTGAAGCAAGGGCTGGTTTAAGACTACGTACAGTAGAATCCCAGGCCCTCTTGAGGAAAACATCCCTTTTCTTATCAACAGCATCCACAAGGACTCCCATATCCTGGAGCGCAAGGTCAGATCTTTTAGAAACCTTTGACAAAAGGTGCATCAAATTTAGGCTCTTTATTCCAAGAATGCTTAACCACTTCTTTAAAGGGAAATCTTCTTTTGAGGCTGTTGGAAAAGAAAGGCTTGCGCCCTGGCTCCTTCCATTCTAATTCAATAGCCTCCTTCAGAGTTTTATGGACAGGGAAAACTGTGCTTTTTACCCTGAAGACCCTCATACATTAAGTTATGTCTCAAGAGCTGGACCCTGTCTTCTTCTATTTTCAAAGTTATGTAAATGGCCTTTAGCAGTTAATCTACTTCATCTACAGAGAGCTTGTACCTAGAAGATGTAGAACCAGATCCCTCCCCTCCTCTGAAGAACTCCCCTTTTCCCTTGTTTTCAGAAAAGGATGAGGAATTCATCACTGAAGCCCTATCTATGACCTCCCACCTGATCTCAACAGGTGTACAGGTCTGAGCTGTTTCAAGGGCCGGCTTCCCCTGAGAATAGTGGAGGTGGGCTAGGATTTTTAAAATCCTCCAAAAAAGTCTTGACAGAACTGAACGTAGTTACCAATTCATATTTGACTGATGACAGCAATTTAACACAAGCTGAAGTAGAGTTCTCCTTTACAAGACCGGCACAAAGGCTTGTTCCAAGAAGATTTGGCTGCACAAACCGCACATTTTCTTTACTTGAGGCCAGGGTCTGGACCTTTGTCCTGGGCTTTAGTATGTAAACAAACAGAAAAAAGGGAACCCTCAGCCACTAACTTTTTCACTAGAAAACACACCCTGTGCTCTAGCAGAAAGAGGAGGAAATGTGCTCTGTCAGAAAACAGCCCATACGTGACAAAAATAAGAACCTACACAGGCCCTCCTCACTGTCATTTCCTGTGAGGAGCTGGTGCTTGCTTGTCCAGAATCAACCACATGCGTAGTAGCCACAGGAGGATCGATAACCACTGGTCTTTCCATTTCAGCCTCTGCTGTAGTGCCTTGTGACCTTTTTCAAAGGGGGATTGGAACCAGCGTCCCAGGCGCCCAGCAATGACCCGCCTCCTGGAAATTATGTCACTACAACATCTGAAGCCAGCCTGGATGACAGGAGCCCCGCCGCACGAGGAGGAAGGCTGGGCAGCAGTGGAACTCAGCCGCCTACACCACCAGAGAATGCAGCCGCCAAGTGAAGGTAAGGCCATAGAGACCACCCTACTTTCCTCCACAGGCAGGGGGAATGTCACCAACGTCTTGGCCCTCCCCAGGCCCTGAGAAGGCTCAAACTGCAACAGCCCAGTCATCCACTGAGTCCCTAGAGGAGAATGCTGCAAGGATAGAAGACAGGAAATTATGTGTAAACCTCCCCCAACCGAGCTTCCAGCCAGCCCTGGGGAGAACTTTTCTCATTGTTCCAGGAAACGTTACCCCCGTCCAGAGGAAACACTAAAAACTGAGCCTTGGGCCTGGAGAACCGCCTTTTATTCTCTGTGGGGTAACATGTTTCCTGTCCCGTGGGAGGAACTCTACGTCTCATGGGATGTCCTGGAAGACGACTTGAGAAAAATGGTGACACAGGAGGGCACAGCCTGTGATTGATAGCCTCAGCTCTGTTCCTGTGTGAAGGGGGTGTGTGTCTCTTCCCTTCAATCAGCTCTCAGAGCTCTCTTCACTGATGTAATTTCAGCTCTCCACCCCCTGCTTTCCAGAGCAGAGAGATCCTGTGTAAATTCTGCACATTTAAACTGCATGCACACTAGCGCTGGATGAAAAATGCTGATAATAGGGTTTTTGTGCCGGCTTGTGGTAGTGTTTTAACAGTACATGAAAAAAAGTACTCAACAAAAAGCTATTAGTAGGGTTTAGGAGTGTTTGGCGCTTTTTCTGTTGGGAAAACGCTCCCAAAAACAATTTTTTTCTCTGTTCCTAAACGCTGAAGCTTGAAAAATGATTCTAGCATAAAATAGTGTGCATGGACACAGAGGATAACACTATCAGCTTCTAGGAGTAGAAAAAAATGCTGATAACAGCTTCTAGGGGCTTTAAAAACCCTGAATGGAAGTAGGGGAAAGATCTATAGATAAACAGGTACAACTTATGTAGGAGGATTTGTTTCAGCTCTGTGCTTCACCCGAGGCCAGGCACTTCACTAGGTATATGGAAGGGTTTACAACCACTTTAAAGTGTTACTAAACCCAGGACCCTGCATTCACTATATCTGGGCTCCCATAGTACATACTACATGGAAATGCAATTATTTTAGTAAATATAAACTGCTAAATGCCTTTTCTCATTAACAGTGACAGCAGTCGTGTGACTTCTATCAGTGTCTAGCAGAGCACTGGTTAATCTTGTAGTTTTCATTCTCCCCGATTGTCTTACGAGACTGTATGACCCTCTGTCTGGACAGTGCTGATTGGCCCTGTGCTAATCACATGCACTCTTCCAAGATTAACTCCTTGACGGGGAGTGCACGCAAATATGCGACCTCTGGGCCTTGACGCCGAGCAGGCGCATATTTGTGTGCAATTAGAAAATACATATGTACTGAGAGCACATAATAATACATAGGTGCTGAGAGCGTGTGCCCTGTGCGCTCCCAGCATGCATGTCCATGACTCATGGAAAGGTCCCAATCTCCCCTTTCGATCAGGACCTTCTCCAATCATGTGACCTCCGTGGCAGCGAATCACGGTGGTCACATGACCCAAAAACCCCGCCCGCCTCCTGAAACTCTTAAATTGCTGGGAGGCGCCGGTGTGAAGAAGTTAAAAAAAAAAAAAAAAACCCTCACTAGCAATACAAATCAAACTGAGCATGTGCAGCTTGCTCCCAAGGTTCTGTACTATCAGCAGATGGATTGGGGACACTGGAAGAAGGGGAGGATCAGAGAAGATGGAATCAAACAGCGTTTATATGCGATGCCCAGGATTAACCCCTTAGGTTGCACAGTGAGTATAACAAGCATGCTTTACTGCATATACAGACTGATTTCACTGTTACGCGTTGACAATAAAACCTGGAAGATGATTGGTTTCTATGCACAGCTGCACCAGATTTTGCCCTCTCCAGTTTCAGTAAATCAGCCCCTAGTCCAAAGCACCAAACACCTGAAATATGTGTGGGTTCTTTGATATTGTATATGAATAGACAAAGTATTGTCCCCTCCGCTCATCCAGACATAAAGTCCTGACACTGGCTCTGTCCATCCCCTACTCTCCGTCTACAGACCCAGGAATTGTATCCACTGCCATACATGTGGCCCTCTAGAGCTCCAGCCTCGTCCCTTCCTCTGGTGTGTAGCAGAGCATGCTGGGAATTGCCGCCTGCCCCCCACCCCAGGTCAGCTCCGTCGGCTCCTCACCTCATGCTTCTTCACCATGCCAAGTTTACGTCATCATCCGGGGACTACAGGCAGTGTGAGCAGCCCAGTGACGTGGGAAGCATGCTGGGCCGGTGTCACATGACGAGCCCAGTAAACAGGAAGCGGCTTCGGGAGGGTCATGTGACCCGACACAGTGCTGAGCAGTGTGATGTCCATGGTCGGGCAGGATTACTGAGCTCCCTCCGCTCAGCACAATGTCCAACGCCGACTACAGCATCAATACGGAGTATGGACACCGGGTGTCAGCCCAGGATGAGAGCGCTCCTCTGCTGGGAGGCCACGTAAGTCCACCTCCCTTCCTATTCCACAGAGCCAGGCTGAATGAGCGGACTTCTCCTGGCCATACACCACATACAATCTGATTGGACAATCTTTTTGTACATCCGCCCGTTGTAGGGTTGTCGCCTCACCCCTTTACACCTGAACACACATTAATTCCACAGGTTCTGGGGCTGATTTCATGCAGATGAGTTGAATTGGCACCATAAGCAGCCCCAGAATCTGTGGAATGAATGTGTTCAGGTGTAAAGGGGTGAGGTGACAACCGTAGCACATTCCCTGAACACTTTTCCAGTCACAATGCAGGATATGTGTGTCTGTGGGAATGCACTTGTGTCTGCAGATGCCAGTAATGGGTAATGTCACCCCAACGCATCTAGCCAATGCCTGTGAGTTTTCAGCCACCGAAATGCATGGATTTGCACGCTTTTAAATCACAACTGCTGTATTGTTTGTGCCGTCCTGTGCGGTTCTTGAGATGAATGTGCTGTGAAGCCGCATGTTGTGGTGTGAGCTCACCATTCACCTCCATCACACTTGTGATCCCCAGGATTGAGCTCCAGGGGTGGAGTGAAACGTGTTGGGGGCGTGGCCTGGCTGGAGCCCAAGGTGAGGCTGTTACGCGTTCTTACTTGGGGTGTGCAGAGATGTGCGGCTCCTATGGACATCTTCCCTCTACATTGCTGTCTGGAGCCAGGGTGAGCTCTGCCCTTGCCAGTGGTTGGCTGTTGTTGATTCGGATCCTTACAGCCTGAATGGCATCCAAAATTTCAGTTTGGGGTCACACCAAGCTCAATAGTTTTAAATCAGGCAGACCATTGTACTACATAGTTAATGGCAGATCTAATGGAGATTGTCCAATCACATTGTATAGGGCGTGGCTAACCTTGTGCAGCACCTGTCAGGTGATCTCCTCTGTACAGGTATGTCTGCACCTTTTCTAGGAGATATTCCATCCTCCTCATCTCTACCCTGGAAGTGTCATTGGTAACAAGCCTCATGTTTACTGGCCACGACAGTGGACTAGGACCCAGGTGGGGACACTGGTCACAGGCTATGACACTCAGCATGGTGCCGCCCTTGTCTGTCGGGGGATGGTGCCGCCCCTGTTTGTCGGGGATGGTGCCGTCCCCATCACTGGGGCTTTGTGCACACTTTCAGCTGGGAGAATGATAAAAATAGATGGCTGGGGTGCATTTTTGCCACCCTCCCCCCTTCCAAAATGCAAAGACAGACATGTGGGCTATGCACATGCCACAGCTGTAATGTAAAGTGCTGCAAAAATTACTCCCCTTATTATGTTTGGCCGGGGCCACCCTGCAACCACATGCAATGAATACATACAGGACAGTGCAGACCTTTTTTGGAGTTAAAAAAAGGTGGTGAAAAAGCAATATATTGCCCCCTGAAAAGTGATTAACTCAGATTGCTCTTCAGAGGTCAATGCTCTTGTAAACAAGCCCTAATGAGCCTACCCATTGGTGCTATATAAATACTGTATTATAATAATGGTGACACCTGTGTTTGTCGGTGCTTTTTCAGCTGAAATGTGCTGAGATGTGTGGAGGTGCGAATCACATGCCATGTGACACTGTGACCTGGAACTGAGTCTGTTTAACTGTGGAGTGATTTAAACTTCCTCAGTGACTGTTTTATGTAACTGTTAGAAGATTTACATTTTTAAATTGTAATTATGGCCAAAATAAAACATGTAAGGTATGATATACGATACCGTCTGTCAGCATTAAAGAATATGTATACCCATCATTTCATATTCCTTATATTTCCCTGCTGTACCATTTACGGCTGTTTTTATTTTTCCTCCCTGAGCTGGGCAGGGAACAAGGGGTCAGGAGGATATAGTACTGGGGGGGGGCAGGGGGGTACAATACTGGGGGATTAGGGGTGTATGGTACAGTACTGGGGGGGTCAAGTGGATACGATGCAGGAAGTTCAGGAGGACACAATTCTTGGGGGCTTGGAGGGCATGGTGCTGAGGGAATGGTGCTGGGAGGTCAGGAGGGCACAGTGTTGAGGGAGTTAGGATGGTTTGGTACTGGGGGGGGTCAGGAGGGCACAGTACTGGGGGGTCAGGAGGGCATGGTATTTGTGGTCTCAAGAGGGCATCCTACACAGGAGTCATCAGGGCTGAGGTGTCAGGGTGGCACAGAAGTTCTTTCCTTATGCATGACAGAGCTGCAAGTTCTGATCCCGCTGGCACTCCTCTCACATGATATCACTCGTAAGTGCCTTGGATTTGGAGAGCAGGGTTGGTGGGGAAGCATGCACTGCACACAATGGAAGAGCTCGGAAGAGCCCAAGCTATTTCAGAAGCTTGCTATGCCCGGCACCCACACATATGCGAGGCTGCCTCTGCCACTCAGGATTAGCTTAGCATGTGCATGTACAACTATGAGGGAGAGCGGCGCAGAGTTAGCAATAAGGGGACGGGGGTGGGTGGTGGGTAGATCTCCATCAATGGGTTGCCGACCCCAGACTAACTCTACCCTTGCCACTGATTGCAAATGCTACTGCCCAAAGTTTGCTTTGTTATTCTTCCATGGGTTCAGTGTGGGTACACTATAGATGAGGCAGCATATAGTAAAAAAGAAACTTGCCTGGACAGCCAAAATGTGTAGCATTTTGACTGGGAAAAAAATATTCACTGCATGTGCAGTACATTCACTTTTCCATGTTTTTGTCTCTTCAGAAAGTTCTGCAAGTACAGTAAATATCGGTTGCTCTACCCTGCTGCCTCTGCTGCACGGAGATCACAAGCTGTGTTGTCAGTCCTGCCTTAGTGCTTCTCTGCTGTACTACAGAACCTCTCTGCTGATCTCCATAAAATAAGGGGAAATGTTCTGTAGTCCAGCAGAGGAGAATTCAGGGAGGACTGCCAAATCTGCTTGGCATTTCAGTGCAGCAGGTGCATTTTCCACTTAAATGGGAAGTCAGGAGCTCACTGGATTTCAGGTAGATTATTGGGTATTTTTCTGTACTTGCAGCTTTTTGAAAGACAGCATACACGGAGAAAAGTGCGTGTATTGCAGAACAGTCCTGAACATGTTTTTTTAAATTGTCCAGACAGACACTTTAAGCAAAATATGCAATCTGTCATCATTGACATGAAAATGCTAGTCACCTGGCTGTCATGTTGCCAATGCCTTACATGCTTTCTGAGGTACTGAAACCATTTTGGGAATCCGCACTGCTGTATGCTTGCTCCCGGCCAACAACTCAAAGAACTGAAGCTAGAGATAGATGGTGAGCATTAGCATCTTCCATATTGTTCTTGTTACAGGATTCTTTTAAAGACATATGTTGGTCAAATAGTGAAATAGCTCACAGAGTAGACATCAGCTGAGTCACTTTTTACTGCAATCATCTGACATGTTTACAAAGAGGAAGTGATCATTACGTTGAAGTCAAAAATAGTCCAAGTGTCAAGCAATAGACCCTCGTTATGCTGTGCAGATGTTTGCTCCAATTTGGCGGAATCGTTATTTGTCCACCCCCTGAACATCACATGCTTCTGTATGATGTAAATCAGTTTTGATTTTGTCATGGTGATTGTTCCTATTCTGGCATGCCATCAAGGTGATACAAGTATTATGAAGTGATTTATCCAGATAAACCGTTGTACAATGTACCACATTTGTCTGCAGAATTCAGTGTTTCGAATGTCAATGGGCAAACAGAAATTTTTAGCCAAGTGAAGCAGAATTCTTATCACTTCCCTGATGACAAAGCAACTTTGCAAGGTTGACCTGTTAGGAAATGGGAATAAGCTACTTATTTTGGCATTGGTGTCCATGTTGTCTTTTCCTAAATGCTTGTGAAAAAAAAAGATAGATGCTTGTAAAATAAATTGTAGATGCATTATTTTAGTGAGTCCATGGCAGACAGGAACTATTTTTAAGGGCTTGGTCAGGGTGGATTTGATTTAAATCAAACTGATTTAAATCACTAGTCAGTAAGGCTTGATTTAAATCCTAGTTTTCTACATAAAGACTAATTCTTGCTGGTATAACTTTAATATGCAAGTAGATGAAGATTTTTAGAATAACAACTTTTCATATTAGTTTTTTTATCCCCAGTTTAATAGGTTAATCATATTTGGACAACTTTTCTGTTGTACTTAGGAAGGAGAAAAATAATCATTACCGTAATAACAATTTAAATAGATTTATTCAACTGAAACAATAACATTACAGCATATGTGATTTGCTTAAACAAAACATCCATGTTTGTTAACTAATTTGGCTAAACAAAATATATATATTTGAAGAAGCTTAGACTGTCAGCCCCTTCCTCCTCACACTTAGCTTCACTTTCTTCTTGTGCAGATCTATTCCACTCCAAACAATCAGAAACATAATGTTTCTATTCTATTCACTGAACTTCTTGAAACTTAGCAGTGAAGGGGTTGATTCTGTATTCATAGGTTTGTAGAAGTTAGGATTAAGGTCTTTTTCTTAACTCTGTTCATGTTATAACATTTTTGCTGTGAAGAAGAGGCATGTGATCTCCGCTGAGTCAAATTCAGTTTTGAGAACTGCAAAAGTAAACCAAGCATCTGTGTAAGATTATTGGGCAGTTTCTCTGCCTACAAGATATTATCAAAAACCTCTGAAAGAGCATGACATTGTGAATGGATTAATGGAATTTATTTACCAAAAAAATTAAACATATACAGCCTTATTCTACATAATTAAAAAACTAATCTTTATTTCATGATGGAATAACCTTTGGATGGTAATATATTTTCCTCAAAAAGCATTTTATTTAAAAAAAATCCGATTTAAATAAAAAAAAATCCGATTTAAAAAAAAAAAAAATCGATTTTTTTTTTTTTTTTTTTTTTTTTTTTTTTTTTTTTTTTTTTTTTTTTTTTTAATCATTGATTTTTATCCACCCTGGGCTTGGTAGCCCACTTTTATTTAAAAGAAAGCAAAAGTTCACAAATGAATGATTTCCCCCATGTAATGAATCTTCTCCAACT